ACACACACACACACACACACACACACACACACACACACACACACACACACACACACACACACACACACACACACACACACACACACAGGACGCTGCCAGGACGCTGCTGTGCATGTTCACACATCATTAGAAAGCGACTGTGCTGTGTTAACACACCGAGCTGATGTGCGTCTGTCAGATGTGACGCCTCGGCTGATTAGGACTTTATGGAGTCAAGTTCAATTAAGCTCGAGGCTCGTTGGTTGAGTCCATCAGCAGCCAATCAGAGAGCGTAATGAGATTAATCAGCCTGTCTTCATTACAAAGAGTTTTTAGAAGCAGAGCGACCGACGGGAAACAGATTAATAAAAAGAAGAGTGTGATTGACAGAGTGAGTTCACTCTGCATGCAGGACAACTTTTTAACCAATGTGGTGCGGACACAGGAGGCCTGACTCAGTCTTACAGGCTTTAACAGGCCTGTGCACATTTGTTCCTCTAAAAATAAATATCTCCGAGGAAAAGGTTTGCACACAAAGTGCAAATATCAACCTCAGCTTCCAGGGTCGGGCTGCACTGTGGTTCATCGTCTGCTCTGCTGTGATCACTGATCCAAACACAATCGCCCAGCAGTGCTCATACTTTATTTAACGCACATGTTTGCACACACAACTCGGTTATATAACTGTTTAGCACAGGAGCCTCATTTCTATCAGCTCTCTGCCTTGTAGCACTTATATGTGAGTGTGAAGTGAACAGATGTGATTACCTGCCTGTTGGTTTCTCATTCAAGTGGTGAAGACATGTTGAGAATAAACCAACAGCTGAGGTCCTCGGCCTCCTCTTCCTCAGACTGCAGGGACAGTCTGATTTAAAGTGATTAAAATTACATTTCTAAACAGTTGCAGGGGAAGAAAGGTCAGGGGATCAGCAGAGTCATTAGGATTCATCCTCTGGGGAACATGACAAATGATCCTAGAGTTGTTGATTTGTTTAATTCTGGACTGACTGATAAACTGAGAGGCGGATTTAACTATCCATCGAGTCATGTTGCTAGATTAGATTTAAAATGATATCAGATATACACATCAATATACAAAAGACTGAGAGTGTGAGATCTCTGGAGGACTTGCTGTCTCTCTGGTTCGGGCTGGTTCTTGTTCTCGTTTATTTGAAAGTCAACCCCAAGAGACGAAGCCAAAAGTCCTTTAGTGACACTTGACTAGATGAGGGATGAACTGAAAATGGGTTTGATATCTGCACTGTGTTGGGTTTTCTATGAAATCCTGCAGCACTGCTGTGTTCAGGGATGACTTGAAACATGTGGAAGCTGCAGAAATATGAACACTATGAATAATCTTCCAGCACCGAGCCGGGACTGCATGGCCTCTGCTTCAACCCCACAAACAGCCGTCTGTCCTCCACCTCAACCTCATCAGTGATTTTGAAGTGCATCTGGACAGACGGGTGGCGTCTGCTGCAGCAGGAGCCAGGACTTCAGTGGAGAATGGCTCCGTTGGGGAGAGCGAGACAGGTGCAAGGCCACTGGTGGATCCTTCCTTCCTGTATATAAGAGGCAGACAGAGGGGGAGGGTCAGTCGCTCCAGGAGACCTTGAATCTGGTGAGTAGCACTCAACAGGATGTGTTGGAGGTAAAGAGAAGAATCAATAAATATCTGCTAATGATTTCCAGTGTTTTCAGAATTGCTTTAAATAATCTTCAAATCACAACACAGTGTATCAGAGAGCGTCCAGAGTCTGTTCAGAAACTCGAAGCTCAGAGTTCAGTGGTTTGTTTGATGTGAGGCGTCTTTCTATCCTCTGGCCAACGAACAAAGCTCAGCTTGGTAAGAGAGTTCTTGAAGTGCAAACGATGGAGAGAAATCTGTGAGTGTGAAGCGAAAGAGAAGAAGAAGAATGATGAAAAAACCGAGCAACGCAGTGCTTCATGCCGAGCACCTTCACAGTCTGTTTACACCCTCCGCTCTGCCGGTTACACAACAGCTCACACACCCAGACTCCGTGTGCTGACTCCTGACATGACGAGTCCTCCGAGGTCACCGCTGACAGACATTATGAAGATGGAGACCCAGAATATCCATGACCCACCTCAGCATGAGTAACTGACTAATCACTGAAACACCCGAGAACATTTCAGATCTGCTGAAACCACATGTGCACGTTCATTTCTATTTGTGTCTTGTAAAGTTTCATTCTGCACGAGTCTGTTTGACACCATCTTCACTGAACCACGATTCAGAACAGGAACAAGATGGATGAAGGAAAGAAAAGACTGAAGCACAGAAACAACAGAAGCAAAACAAGGAAACCAGAAAGGAAGCACGGCAAAAGTGAAACAAGCAAAGGAAGGAAGGAAAGGAAAATTTAATCGTCTCAGGAAAAGCTCACTTTGTTGAAACTGTTTTGAAATCACTTATTTCAGTAGAAAGTTTTCATCAGTTCATTTCGCTCCTCACCTCCAGCTCAGGCCTCACGCCAACATGGAGGACGACTTTCGGCCTCAGGTGAAGAAGATGGCTGTGGCCATGGGCGCTTCTCTCACAGAGCAGGATATCAACCACATGCCTCAGGAGATGAGAACGCAGGGTGACACTGTGTGTGTGTGTGTGTGTGTGTGTGTGTGTGTGTGTGGCAATATAAAGTGACGTGTGAGTCTTGATGATGGTGTCATGGTCTGATGACATCGTTTGTGATTCTGCAGGAAACTTCCACTACAGCCGGTTCCTGGACTACATGAGACAGTTCCAGACGTCGGAGCAGAGAGAGGAGGCCATCAGGAAGGCCTTCGCCAAACTTGACAGAGACGGCAGCGGCTACATCGAGTGGAACGAGATCAAGTATGAACCCTGCACTGACTCTGTTATCTGATATTTATTTATCGTCAATCCAATAAAAAGGTAAAAAAATCATTTTGACGTCCTCGTTTCAACCAAATTAATAAATATTTGGTTTCCATGTTTGATGCGGAAATATTTTACAGTTCAGCTCTGGAAGTAGTGGGAGTAAAAAATACTCCTTGTATGAAAAGACAAGTAGCAAAAACCCTTGATATTTCTAAATAAGATTTTTCTTCTCTGCAGGTACATTCTGTCCACTGTGCCGACCGCAGCCCCGTCGGCTCCTCTGTCTGATGAGGAGGCCGAGGCCTTGATCCAGGCTTCAGACGCCGATGGAGACGGACGCATCGACTTCAGAGGTGAAGGTTTTATTTTCTGTCAGACTCTCTGAAGACTCTCCGGAGTCACCGCTGAGTGTCAGCAGTTAGAGACTCGTCCTGTAGTGGTCACTGCAACACTTCATCCACCGTGTTTAAAACTAAGACCACAGAGACAGACACAAACTGTCGGCCTGTATCAGGACATGTTGCCATGACTGAATCACAGCACGCACTTGTTTTACAGAGTTCTCTGACATGGTGACGATGGAGAAGAAACCCAGGAAATAGACGTCACACGGTTTATCTGTGCTCCACCGTGTGTGTGACAGAGGAGAGGGAGACGCCCTGAGACCTGATGAAGACTCCTGAAACAACACAACTCCTCCACCTGAGCATCAGGAGCATCAGGAGCTGAGGCGGCGAGAGGAGCTTTCGTATCAGAGCACAGAAATTAATAAATCACATTGTTCTGGTTCTAATAGGGTCTGAAATGTTGATTTAACAGGAACTTCATTTTCTTATAAAGGTCTTAAATGGAGAGTAAAGTGATGCTGGTTAAAGATTATTACTGTTCATGGCTGATGACATGAACAGTAATAATCTTTGTGTTAGTGAGAGTTTCACAATAACATCAATGATATTTGAACCATTTTAATTTCACACCACAAATAAAAACTCCACCTGTTCCTCACAGCATATAAAGTATAATTCAAATACTTTAGTTATCAAAATACTTCAGTTCTAAGTTACTTCTGTTAGAGTTCAAATAAAGTAGGTTGTGTTATTCTGTCCTTCACTCATCTGAGCTGCTCTGTTGTAAAACTATTAAAACCACATTCATCAGACTCTGGGATCCATGTTCGTTCATCACTAACGATAATTATCATTATCATTAGTAGAAGTAATCCATTAGTATTACATATATACATTGACATTAAGAAAAGTGAAATGTTAAACTTTGTAGCCTCGACTTCCCTCTCAAATAATAAATATTATATAATAAAAATAAATGAGATTTTTGTAAAACTTCCTTCGGAGCAGAAATAATCGAGTAAACCCTCGAAACAAAGACACAAAATCAGTTCAGGCAGTGAACTCACCTTTCTCTGATGAGGAAACCTTGATGGAGGCTGAAGACACAGAGACGAAGAGCTGCACCGACCTCGTGTCACCACTGGGGGTCAGCAGCTGGCAGCTCTTCATGTGAGGAAGAAAAAAAACATCATTTTAGATTCAGCTTGACTTTGAGTTTCATGAGATTAAAACCTGTCAGCTGCTTCCTCTGCTGACGTGAGTGTACGTTTATTATCAACCTGTTGCAGGAACAAATCTAAATACTTCATACGAAACATTACACTTCAGTTCTCACGCCTCCATCACCACCTCCAAAACTTTCTGCTGAATTGTTTCCACATCACGCAAACTGAGGATGTGACCCTGTCCCATCATGCATCTGTTCATCTTCCAGTCAGGGGCAGGCCTCGTCTCTCAGGCCGGCAGCTTCACATTACCAGCCGCCTGCAAAGTGTAATTGTAACGTGCTGCTGCCAGACATGTTGGCATCGCTGCAAACCCTGACTCATGACTCCTGTAACTCCCGAATGCAGCGGCCTCCTCCCAGACCACATCTGGCTCTCTGCGTCTCCCTCGTCCAGTTTCTCAGACGAGCTGAAGACGGAGCAGAGGTCGTGTGGTTCATGCGTGTTCTTTCAGGGAGGGAGAGAAAGAAAGAAAGAGAGAGAGAGAGAGAGAGAGAGAGAGAGAGAGAGAGAGAGAGAGAGGCCCTGCATACCGCACCTCCCTGGAGTGAGTGTTCCTCCTCAAGAGCTGAGGACTCCTGTCATCAGTACAGTTTGTTAAAAGACAAAGGAAACATGTCTGACCTTCACGTACTAAACATCCCCGGGTGTTAACCCCGAAGAAGTTTTGAAAGTTTCTGCACACAGCTGCCGTCTGACTTCTTGTGGCAGAATTACACAAAACCTTTTAGGTGCAGATCCAGGAACGTGGTTTTCACTCCAACACTACAGCATCGGGTGTTTTGTTCATATTCACCATTTTGCCAGTGAATCATTTGTGGATCTTTATTTGTTTAGACGACTGATATGAGCGTCTGATATTAAGTTGAGGGACTATTGGACCTTGGCAGAGGTTTTATCCAGTTTTAAGAGGAACACACACGTACATTCAGCGGTGATGCACAATTAAATTGTCCATGTGTGCACACACTCAGTATATTGATGTGTATATCTGATATCATTTTAAATCTAATCTGGCAACATGACTCGATGGATAGTTAAATCCGCCTCGCAGTTCATCAGTCAGTCCAGAAATCTTGCACACGAGCGGTTAACTGGAACAGGAAGTGCTTCATTAGTTTCTATGTACTTCAAGTTAAATTCTATTACACAAAAGGTTTCCTGGGAGTCAGTTAATGTCAGGACACGTAAAATAAAACATGTTTTTAAAATCAAATTAAAAAAGACAAACCCACTGAGATAAAATCACAGTTTCCTTTTATACAGATTTTTAAAAAGTTCAAAATAAAAAAGTGAAATTGCACAAATTAAAGCTTTCGTCTTCCTCCCATTACACGTAAAAACACGGTTCAGTATTCCACATGACTGTTCCATATATAAAGTACATTTTGAATATCCCCTGATTTACAGTGTGTCTTTGGTTTCTTTCCTCTACAGTATAGTGTCAACGCCTGGAACATCATGAAAACATCTGTTCAACGACAGAGACAATCTGTGCCACTTAGTTCAGTTTGACAATAAATCTCCATGAACTTCGACCTTCATTGTCACGGCTCAGAGCGGAGTCCAGGTGAAGCAGCGTGAAGGAGCACATTCCTCCGGACGAGACCTCGGCGACGGCCTCGAAATCCAAACAGAGAAAAGGCCACAGACGTTCTGGTTTGTGTTGTCATGGAAACATTGTGATTCACATTAAGAAGGCACAGAAAGAGTCCACACGTCGTTCTGATCGTCAGTGTGGCACCTCGTAGAGAAACGTGCTTAAAAGAGGAAAGACCACAGAAAATAATAAGTTAAGTTCCTCAAACTAATCAAACTTCCCGTTAAGCTTCATGATTTGTGTTACCATCCACAGTCGTACAGTAAATACACACAGACAGAGAGAGTTGTGGGTAAATGTCAGACCAGTCACTGCCAGCAGTGCTCCAACCTTCTATTTAGGGCGAGGAGATATTTTGAGCAAGTGGCCGACTGAGCTGCAGACTCGTCCCCTCGTCAACACGCGCTACCACAGCAGCAAGAAACTTAAAGACTGATTGTACGATAAACCCCTCCCAGCGAACATGGGTTTAGTGATTCATGAAGGAGGAAAACTGATTTTAAAACAGATTAAAGCTCAGACAGTGTTTGTTTTAAACTCTCGGCGCCCTCAACAGACAGAGCCGGGAATAAATAGATTATAAATGATTAAATCTGTCCTAATCCAAGCTGATGTAGCTGAGAGCACGCTGACGCTTGTTTCTTGTTTTATTTCCAGCCTCAGGGATAAAACTGGTTTTAACAACTGACATCAAACCCGAGTAAGTGTTTGTCAGTTCAAGTGTTTCAGATTAGCTTGGTTTGAATTAGTTACCTGACGATATAAAGTTGGCTTCATTGATGGATGGATCCTTTATCAATCCTGAGGAAAATTTAGAAAGTGGAAACATGTCGTCCATCTTTATTTCAAGTGGCATCTGGTTCTGAGGAGATATTTCACTAAATGACCTGAAGATGGCGCTACATGAAAAATCTGTGGATTTATCCTCTGGGGATCTTGAACATTGGTTTGCTGTTTGTTAGTTTATCCAGTCTGACGCATCCTGCAGATCACCAAACCCTCGCTCTCTGGGATGATGTGATTAAAACGTCTCACTCAGACACGTCTTTGTTAAAATAAACTGAGTCTGTTCGCTGAACAGTTCAAAAAAATAATGTTTCCTTCATGAAAAAAAAAACTTCTGTCATTTGGTCAGTTCAGAGAATCATGAACCGCCGTGACTTCCTGCCTCCTCGAGCTCGGAGCTCGACTGCAGACCCGATGACTTCATTTCCTGTCGACCTGAATTCAGTGCATGTAGAGTCGCATGAGGCCGGCCTGGTGCAGCTGCTGCCACAGAGTCATTTCCATGCGCAGGTCGTGGTTGATGTAGAAGCCCACTGGGTGGTAGTTGCTGTCGTAGTAGTGGTCGGAGTAGTTCTTATAGTCGGGGGTCATGAAGCCGTAGGCGCTCACCTTTATCAACAGAGGAAACGACAGTGAAGCATGAATCTGACGCAGAGATTCAGTTTATTTCATGTTTCAACACAAGCTCTTCGGCCTGAATCTCTCCCACAGATGAAAAGCAGGTTTTCACAGCTGACGCTTTTGTAAAAATAAAAAAATATGTGGGTGATCAGGTTTATAGTGTAATGTAGGTCTCATGATGTCAGTCAGACAGTACAAGCCCGAACAAACACAAACCGCTGAGCATCAAAACATTCTCACGCTCTCAGGCAGGTGCAGTCTTGTCCTGCGGAAATAAAAGACTGACATGATCAACAGACGGACACGAGTGAGGAGCGCTACCTGGTCGCAGGAATGCAGTGCAGCCAACAGCATCACAGCTCCGGTCGACGGACGATAGATGTCCTTGTATTTGGTTTTCAGAGCACTGGATCGAAGGAATCTGAAACAAACAGAAAAATCTGTCACGTCAGGAAAAAGTGAAGAAAGAAGAAACGAAACCTCTGTCACTGTGTTGAAACTTTCCTCCCACACGACCTCTGTTGTTCTTCAATTCTCATTTCCAGTCTTCTGAAATACGAGCCGTGCTTTTATTTACCTGCCCGGGAATTGGCTCACCTGTTCCTGAGGTAACGGATGAAGTCGGGGTGGTACATCTTCAGCTTCTCCGCTGTCACGTCCTCTCCGAAGAACTTGGTGGGACTGTGGAGGAAACACAAGGTCACTGCAAAACTCCCAGAATCCTCAGACACTGTAGAAAAGACAACAGGTGAATAATATCAACGTGCTGATGTTTGCTCAGAGACCTTTCTCCAGACAGCAGCGAGGGTTGCGACACTGGAGAGAATGTGAAAGTGGTGACGATGACTTGAGTAAATGAGGAAACACTTTAACAACTTTAAGTTTAAAAGGTCGTCGATGGAAACATTGTGCTCAGGTTCATCATTCAGAAGCTAAATGAGAAGGACTGTCAGTGATTCATGGCACAAGAACTCACTCAGTAACACAACGTGACCATTCGTTGCACTTTTCTATCTCATCACTCACACGCTGTCGACAGGGGAAGTCTGGGCTTCAGTATCTTCAGGACACTTCAGAGTTCAGACTGGAAGAAATGGAGGAGCCGGGGATCAAACCACCACAGCCCGCTCTACCTCCTGAGCCACAGCCGCCCCTAAATCCATCTATATCTTGGTCGTAGGAGCTGGAACCAATCCCAGCTGACGTTGGGAAACTAACCCAACCCTAATCTGAAACATGAGAACATGCAAACTCCACACAGGCAGAGCTGGGATTCAAACCGGGAACCTTTGTGTTGTGAGGCCACAGTGAACAACACTTTCCTCAGACTGCCCATTCCTGCTGCTCCTCTCTTCAGCCTCTGTCTCAAACACTAGTTTTTAGATTCTGTCTCTTTTCTTTGCAGAACTTTAAAAGACAACGACTGAATAAAAAAGGTCTGTCTCACTCTTTGGCTCGCTCGGGCCCTCTCTCCACTGGGACGTGCGTGGCTGCAGCCTTCATCAGCAGGTAGTCACGGTCGTGGTCGGGCAGGAAGACGTATCGTGTTTCCTGTTGGAGAGCAGCAGAGATGTCGATGGGTCAGATTTATGTCATGATTTCACCGCTGTACGCAGAAAGCCCTCTTGTGCTGTGGTCCTGACCTGAGACAGCGGCGGTCCCTTGTAGCCGAGTCCCGCGTAGCTCCTCATAGAGTTCATTAACGTGTTGGTGGAGAAGGTGTAGTGGGTGGTCCGAGACCCCACATCCTGCTCGAAGCCCTTAATGATCGCCCCGTTGGTCCTGAAGTCACAAACACACACAAACACGTGGAAACACAAGAATGAAAGCAGGTTTCTGTGAAGTCTCCTTCAGTCAGAACAGCAAACACACAACAGTCCGACTGAATCAGCTCGTTATGGATCAACTTTTATTTACTGACAAACTCCAGACCAGAGTCCGACCGAGAGAACAGAGCAGCTGTTCACATTCTTCACCCGAGAACTGACATTAACCATTTAAAGAAACTTTTTAATGAATGATGATCAGGCTCAATATTTAAGGGTTTAGAATTTCAGAACAAATATTCGAAGGTGAAATGTCCCAGGGCCGACTTCCTGTTCGGGTACTTTTGTTGTTTATCACATTTCTACTGAAACAACCAAAACAAACAAGGAACATTTTAGACCATTTTTCAATCATGATGAAAAACCTGGAAGTTAAATTTTAAACTT